GGGTGTAGCCAGTCGTGAATTGGCGAGTTGGTGAACGATCGGCTGGTCACACCACTCGTGTGCCATCTTTCAGCACCACCTCATTGTCATCTCTGCGTCTCCATCTGGTGGCCGGCTATTTCCGCGACGTTTTGCTGCCGCTAACTTACGACCCATTGGACGCGAATACATAGTGCAAATCAAGGCATCATTCGATGCTCGTAAAAAGCAACGTCACCATTTTAGCGGAATCGTAAAAGTACGGTAGCGCAAGAAACTGCACGGCGGACGGCGCGCGCGCCCGTTACTGTCATGGAGGGCGCGACGAGGGAACATTTCGGAGGAGGCCAAGTGACTGCTGAACCGTATGCTCGTAAATCCGATGTTTACTCAGGTGAAATAACTCAGTGTGGTTGTCAATGGGATGGTTCAGGCAATGGTCGGAGAAAACCTACCCCTTTGATTGCAGGATTAGGACTTTTCTTGAAGTGATGGGACTCTTTGTAAGATGGTAGGACGTAGCGCCGCAGGACTCCTAGAAACAGTTATTTATGAAATGAAACATAAGTGTGTGATTTATGCTAAAGATCGAAAGGGGCAACAAAGTCCTAATTGGGAAAATTCAAATTTGTGACGAAATTTTTCTGTCCACACGAAAAACCATCTAATATGGCTCGGAATAGTTGAAGAATCTTTTTTGAGGTCGAATCTACTCTTCACGTGCACCATATACCTTACTTTCTGGAAGTGTAAACCGCCTAAAGTATAAGTCGCATTTTATCCTCAGGGCAAAAGTGCGGCTTATACACAAGTGCGGTTTTTTGAATTCCAGAAAATAATGTGAGTGGAATTGGAATGTTCAGGAAGAATTGCGTCACTCTGTTTTCGAATTTCTAATAGTTTCGTTAACACTCAGTTTCATGAAATCAGGTTGCCAACAGATTTATGAAGCAATTAATTCTGATGAATTAGCGGATTAACAATATTAAATGGAAATTTTGTCAAAATCAATAAGAAGTGTGGAACAAGCGAAAAGGAAGGAACTGCTGCAGAATTTTTCCGAGTCGTCGTTTGCTTCTCTGCGACCATTTCATAAAAGTGCGACTTGCTTGGTTGTTTTTCCATCAACTGTTTTCTTTTGGAATGCAAGGTATAAGTTCGAGCTCTACTGGAGCAGCATGAGAAACTGTAGTTTTGGAAAAAAAGTTGCTTTTTGTGAATAAAGAAAAGCATCTCGAAGGGTCCCAACGCTAGTTTTTTTTACATAAGAGGTCTTACGATATTCGGGAGTGGGAATGACTCGAAAATATTTTTTGAAGAGTCCTCTATCGTTTTGCTTGTAAGGGACCGAGGATTTTTGTTCTGTAAGGGATTGGAAGCCTCTCACTCATATCTTCTTCACATTCTCTGCACAATGTCTTCGATGGCTCAGTTTCTTTGGGTCAAAGACGGCTACTCAAACCATCCCCACACTACCTAATTTCATTTGATTTCGTGTACTATCAGCCCAAATCACATCTGTATGATCATTTGGTTACCATTCCCATGACTGATCAACTGGGAGAGGTTCTGTAGATTTAAACCGATTGAACTCTGAGATCTGAAAATTGATCGCAGACGTCGAAAGAATGGAAATGTACTATATAATGAGAACTGATGAAAAATAGGAAATATTCTATACGTCACTCCGCAACAGCCCTTGGTCATTCCCTTTACTTCTTACCAGGTTCTCATCGCAAGCTCGAGAAGAAATGGTATCTGTAAATGTGCTAAGAACATAAACTTTCTCTTAACCCATTCCGGACCGTGCTTCACCATGAGACGGCCACCACAATACAGTTCCTTCCGTTTCACTTGTTAGGCAATCCATTATGTTTCAAAGTTAAGAAGCTGTGGTTCCAGAAGAAGAAACAATCATTCTAGGTTATCCCAAGAATGCTGAGCTATGCGCAAAGGTCTTAATCCCGCGGAACCCACAGCAGCACCTCACACTCCCCGGGTGAGGGCGTTATCCGTTACACCACTAGGTCCGCTCATATTTTTCTAAATTAGTGGAGCTATTGAACATGGCCACTGTTGGCCAGTGAGAAAAGGAGACGAAGTTATGAGGAGGTACACGTACAAAGAGGGCCCGCATTATTCTAAAGCAGTAGAGGGGATCAGTAAAACCTGAAACTCTCTCCGGTTTCACCTCCACTCCGTTTAGAAAACTGTTAGTGTTTTGTGAAAGAAAGATGTTACTGGGACTTCCAAAGTAGGCTCTGAGGAAGATGTCCTTGAAGGCTTCCCACAATCGGGTGTTCTCCCAGCTCGAGAGGTATCTGAAGGAGTGTCGGAATTTTTGAAACTTTCTCGAAAGAAAGCTTGCTCCATGAGGTATTTCGCTCGCTGTAACCCATACAGTTGGCTGAATTCAGGGCGCTGAAGATGCTGACCATGAGTATTGTACCGGCTGGTGATTTCCAGACTCAAGATAATGCACGCACTCATCGCTCTCCGTACAACACGTCGTGCGGTAATAAATAATCGGCAATTTCGAATCGTTTATGGTTGTTTTTACGCTCATGGTGGCCCGATTTCGCACCTCTTCACAACTATCAATTAGACGCCGAAGCGAAACGCTGCAAAAGGAGCGAAAAGCGCAGAGAAGACGGTGAAGTGTGATCGGAGCGCCGTATCGCGCTCACTTGGCTATGGCGACGAGCGGCTCACTCATCTGATTAGGACATGATAGATGACATGATAATTATAGTTGCGGTTGGAGCGGACTCGCTAGGCAAAGGGCGAGCCGCTGACAACATTGGTTATCGCAGCGGTCAACGAGATCGTATCCCTCACCGATCACACCTCATCGCCGAGTTCCTCGGGCAATACCAGCCGCGAAGATAACGCACCTCAATGCCACCGGCACGCGTTGTCCTCTCGTCGAGCCGCCACCACACAGGTCACGACATTCGCGACTTCTTAATCTTATTACCGACAACAAAGACCGAAAGATTTTCGCGCACACTTTTCAGTGTTTTTATGGGGTTCTTGCGATCGTGGGAAAATCACCCTACAAACGGTAAATCACTTTGTTTTTGCACTAATATGTGAACAAGACAGCCGCGAACCGCCTTGAAGGAGCGACAAATGTGTCGGACGGGAACGGATTGGAACAAGATAAACACGGGAGATGACCGCGAAATCTCGCTCATCAACAATGGATATCTCGAGCAAAAGCTGGAAGGGGAACGAGACAGCGTGAAATCCCGACGTTCTACTGGATACTAAACCCAGAGGAAATTTGGGCAATAAATCCAATCAAGTACGACTTCAATAACATAATACTAACAATGTAACTGGAGTAGAGTGGAAGATTTATAGTGTAGGCTGGGAATTCGGTTGGAATGAATGCTTCAACGCAATATGGAACATGGAGAGAATTAGCTGCGTCTGAACGGTGACATCCCTCTCCAAAGAAAAAAGCCTTGGAATATTAATTTTCCGAAACTAAAAGTGAAGGATAAAGTTGTCGCCGTTGGTCAACCCTCCGCGAGAAGCTGCGCTCGTTCTACACCTATTCATAAGCGTGGCAT